TCAGTTCTGAATGAACGCAGAAAGACCCAAGTTCATTCCCCCTGGATGCAGCGTTCCAAGTTCTAAAATGACGCACTGCTCCAGTTCCATACGCTGTACATCAGATGACGCTTTCCGCAGGATGCAGACGCTTACGTCACCGAAGGTATGTGGCGGTGCGCAAAAGTGCTGCGCAACAGTGAGACCAGGTGTTTGTTGGTCTCTCCGATGTACAGTTTACCACAGCCGCGAGGACATGTAATGCAATAACCCACATTACTTGTAATGCATGTATGATCCCCGCGTATTCTGTAGCTACCGCGGGGGCCGACGACCGACGGGCTGTTAGCTATGTAGGGGCACGTGTTACATCTGGGGCGCTGACAAGGAGAGACCGGGCGTCGCGGTTACGAGAAAAACTAAGCAAATCATAATCGCTTGGATGGACAGGAAGTAAACGAAAGGCCGACATAATATCCGACTTGGTCACCAGGGCACTTCCTGGTAAACCAGTGATCACAGATCATTGACACTAAAGAGTACTGGCGGGAAATAATGGAATTCATTTTAAGCCGCTATAAACAGGCGTCGTGTTAAACACTTTATATGTTAAACACGTTCATGTCTAAACGCACTGCGTGTCCAAATTAAATGTGTTAAGTTTATAAACGCGTCGAACTTTCTTGGGTTATATCTCCGCAGTTCACACACGTGCAGTTTGGCTGGCGGCAATTCGATCATTTCCAAATCGGTTTAATAGGACGAATTATTTTGAAGTATTATTAACTTTACAATAGCCAAATTTTAGAAAACTAATAATGCTAAAATATTATACAAAAGCATCAAGACAAAGAATGTAACATCTAAAAACAGAGAATACGTAGCAGAAGTTAAAGTGCCTATCTATTTACGCGCAAAACAATATATGTCTCTTTTCGATTTTTTCCTGGTAGGATAAGAATTCGGGGATGCTGCACAACTTAATTCAAGTTGTGTTTTGGGCTTCTTGTGTCATCTGGCTAATTCCTTTAAGTCTCGATTTACCTCTCCTTTCCCCTCCATTTGTTGCATGTTCATTTTCATGTCAAAGAAAAATAGTGCAATGCTTTCAGAAATGCGAAAAGTCAACAGAATTAATTATGAAATTCTGTCCACAGTTGACACAGTTAAACATCTAAAAATGTGAGGCTTGTTTTCATCTCTTCTCAAAGAAATCGGATAATTCAAGCTGTGAAAATTTAATACAATGATAATTTATGCAAACATTTGAGATATGAAACAACTCTACTGACGTTAATGAACATCCCAACTTCATGTAGGCAGTCTGCAACCTAGTAAAAGGTTTTGATTAGTACCATTGTCAATGAGGTCAATAATAATTCTTGTTCTCTTCCAGTGGCGGTGCAAAAGCACCCACTGAAAAGCCGTTGGCACCCACTTTTGCACCCACAACAATTTTGTCACATTGCGACAGAGCGATCAACCTGTTTGATTTGCACCCACGCAATTCTGCCTTGCCCCTTCAGCCACTGATATCTGGCGCCACCAATGCTCCCTATACGATATTTCCCCTATTGTGTGGCTTCACAAAAAAAATTCCCATAAATTTAGACGCTTGGTTGCCATGTTATGCAAAGCTTTCTTCGCAATGCCCGCCTTTGTTCTTCCTGACGTCAATAGAAGAAGCCAACCTACACTTTTGTATTCGGCTCGGTAAAATGGCCGCTTGTTGGCTTCTTTTTCATACAAAGGCGTTGCAAGTCTAGGTTTTTTTTTATATACATCCGTGGTTGAACTGCGCTGTGCTGCAGCGAGTGTGGTGGCGGCCATCTTTGGAGGCCCGAAATCAACTTGCAGTGGCTTCATGTGATATAGGTCGTGTGATAGGCGCACCCAGTATTCGGCAAGTACACTGGGATCAGTGGGCACGTTACAGGAAACCAGTGCCTTTTTTCGACACACGCATTAACCTTCCAGAGCTCTCGACTTCTTTTACTTAGAGAAAGGTGCATGACGTCATTGCTTAGTTTAATGAACAACGAAATTAGGGCACACTTTTACGTGCAAAGTTTAGTTTTGTATTAAACAATACTGTGTCTTCTATGGCTACATAGAAGACACAGTATGGCTACACAGACACAGACATAGAAGACATAGAAACGTTTTGAGAAAAAAAACACAAGATAAGTGAGAATATATCAATTTTTACAGTTGGGAGGAAACCATCGATAAATTATTAACAAAACTGTTATTATTAGATGGGGTACTCGGTTTAGCCTTTTAGACTCAAACCTGAATCACAAAGGGGGAAGTCAATTCGAATTCCTTTAGTTCACTAACTTACCAGTCATATCTGGTTTGATCGCATGGATTCATAAGTTCTTTATTGTGTACATTTGCTTTAGAATGAATACTTAACAAAAGCAAAAATTACATATAATTTCATGAACGGATTCTTTTAAATTGTAAATTTCAAAAAATACAGAAGAATGCACAAAATGATAACATTAAGTAATAAAATTAAAAATAAGTTTAAACCAATAACCAGAAAGGAAACGTTGGAAAACCTAAATTTAAGCTTGGGAGAAGGAGTTTTTCTTCGAGTTATCGTGTTATTTCCTGTTTTTACTTCAAATTCGGTAGAACTGTTATGTAGAACTGCCTGCCTCACAAGTCACACTGTAAGTCACACTCACCTCGAAGACTTTTACCTTTGAACTATCAAACGAAACGATGTACACGTACCTATTCTTATATTCATGCTCCGCATCAGCAGTTTGGTGTAAACACTGATTGTGGTTTTTGAGCTGAGTCATGCTCCCAACGTCTTATTTCCCTCAGTCAAAAAAGTGCTCAGTCTTCCCCCCGACCCAAATGGCAAATACAAGCGGACAAGTCAGGGTAAGAGTCTTATTTGACTGTACTATATAGATTTTTCCAGCCAATTTCGGAAAATGTGTAAATGAATTAGTAATAGCAGCATTCGTTTTCAAACGAATAGAACGAACATTCAAATCTATTTAACAAAAAACTTTTTCAGGTGTATTCAGTCGTATAAAGTCAGCATTCAATTTCTCGATATTGCACTGGTTTAAAATGGTGACATTCATTTTTGTGCGAAATCGAATGCACTTCTGCAATCCTAACTCAATGTAATTCGTAAAATATGCAGGCAATTTCGCGTGAAGTGTTAATCGTGTGCCTGGTCAAGAGTTGGACTTCGTTTGCGTGCTACAGAAGTTACTTTCTCAGAGGTGTTTCGTTTAAAGGTTAAATGTTTGAATATTCATGGTTGAAATAAACCATCCATGTTGTCTTTGGAAACATACTGATTATTGTATGAATTCTGTATACACCGACGCTGAAGGAACCTTCCTTCATGTGCTACTTTTTTTTTTCACAATTACATCATACAGCGAAGTAAAGGCCTTCTTGCAATGGCTGAACGAAGAAATGAACTGTAGAAAAGTCATAAAGACCTCAATTAGTGTCCAGTTTGATAACAACCACACTATAAGTAATATTATTCAAGAAGAATTAGACTAGAAGCCTAGTCCTTCTTGAGTAACATTACAATTATTATCAAAGTAGTGTCATGATTTCTCTAACCTTGTATATTCTAATCAAAATGAACGCAAATGTTGCTTATTTGAATTACAGCAAATGAAAATGAGTATACCAAATACCAAGGATCACGGTAAAAGGTAAAATTTTCAGCCGATGAGATACCATATTTGTTATAATTGGTAATTAATTCGTCAAACCAAAATCCCAATCACTTATGTGAAACCTCTTATATGAAATTTAATGCACATTCATTTTATTTGAATAATGTAAAACGAATTTGAATGCTTGTTACTGGGAAAATGAAACCAGGTTTTAAGTCATTTTTCAAAAACTACGCCACACTGAATTTTTATTTTACAAATTTAATCGCGCATTTTCCAAAATTAGCTGGGAAAAGCTAGACCCATAATATATATTGCCAGGAGGGGCTTCAAACGCTTCACCTATAAGCCGAACTTGCTGGTATTTGAACAGCCCCTTCAGGTGTCAAATGATGTCCAACCCCAAATCCACATTCATGGTTATTAATGATTTTTAAAAGACCTGTAACCCCCATCCGCCCTGCCCCCTTACTGGTACACACTAATCGAAATTAAAACGACAAAATAAAACGAATGAGTAAAGCAATTTTGAAATAGCAAATTAGTGTGTTTTGGATTCGAATTGACTAGGCAAATTGTAATCTAGCTCTTAGCTTGACAAGAAACACCCAGACACAAGCTGACATTCCTGTGGCTAGCCTCCATCTTTCTTCCCCAACTAAATCTTCAAGTTCATGGCCCACAAAATGCTTAAATAAAATAACAGAGTATTTGACAGCTATAAATTGCGATTTCGCCGGTGCAGGCTATTTACTGGCATGCAATCATACACATTGACAACAGCGCCCTCACCACAACTGGAAGCGCCAACAGCACCAAAAATAGTCATTATTGCACCTTCATGAGGCGCCCTCATCTTCCAAATTCATCCTGTCTTGTGAGCAAGTGCAGTTCAGGTCCGTATTTAGTGCAGTTAAGTTTCCTCTGTGAATGGAGGTGATAAACAGACTGGATATATTTGTATATTTTGCGCAGCCAAAGAAAACCTCACTATTACAGTGATGCTTGTCTGTGACAGGAACTCCAGTGGTGCTTTCTTGACGCGCATGCGCTCACGCCCAATGACGATCAACAACTAGGCACGCGCGTCAACGTAATGCCATTTTGAAGGCTGAAGTTACACGGGATGGACATAGAGGAGCTTTAAGATGTAGGATCTTATTCTGGAAAGATGGAACCAGGCGTTGAAGAGGAAATGTAGGCCCATTTGTGTGGCCATTCGCAGGTAACAACGAATTAAACGAACTTATTACTCGACATCTCGAGTTAATTGAGTTGGTTGACGAAGAGAGGAAAAGGGTTTATTTGATCTACAGGAACAGAGTGCGTGTTTTTCATTGGTTGAACCTCAAAATTGGATTTTTATATAATGTTTACCGTTTCACAATGAAGGTCTAGACGGATGCATCATTCTCTAGGATTCCTCCAGTGACGTCATCATTCATGGTGACAAACAACAGGCAAGTTGAATTTTAATTTCTGTTTCTGTCTTTGTGCTTACAATTCAACACCTTGAATCACTCCACAAGCACAATCTCGAATCACCACAGAGGATTTCCTAAATTCAGCACCTCCTGAATTAAATTTCTCAGAGACTTCACTATGTAGAGATCCTTATGACACATGTACTGCTGAGCTATGTGCTTGGGACTTAAAGTCAACTGTGCAAGAACCTGCTTCAAGTTATGAAGTATTGGAGCAAGTTTTTGTAAAGATCTCTCAGCAAAGCAGAATTCGCTTGATGAGTTCCTAAGTAAATTGATGAGTCTAATATTTTGCGTCTTCAAAGACGAAGTTTAGTCATCTTTCCAAACATCTCTCAAAGCCAACAATGTATCTGTTCCCTTACACCTTTCAACGAGAACATTTTCAAAATTCCACAAATTTCGGGAAGAAATGTGAATATGAAAGATCTATAAGGCTTTAAAAGTGTTTTCATGTCTTTCGAGCTTCGCCTAGGTCGATTATATCCTCGACGAAATTGTCTGAAACTTCTTTGTTCCAAATACTTTCGCGTAGCATATCAAGGCAAAATCATTTTAAACACCCGAGTTCTTCAACAAGATGGCAATGATGTAATACCATGTTTTGAATGCCAAAACCAAACCCATTATCCTCGAAAATTGTTTTTGAAAAATTTGATGTTCTATCCCTTTTATTTATTCATGTCACCTGTATGTGTTTTTCTTGAAGATTTGAATATAAATTTTTTCGTGTTTTCATGCATTAAAATGATGCAATATTATTCCAGTTGCACAAAAACCAAACCGACTTTTCGGGGGTGGTAATATTAATCTGAATAGTGCAATGATCGTGGCAAAAATTTCTTCACAATTTGTGTCGTTTCATCAACCTACAGCTTCTTCTCTTTTGTCAAATTATTTCAACGGTGTTTGGTATAGTCATTGTCTTTGAACCATTGTAATCATACTATTGTCGTATAGTCATTGTCTTTGAAGCTGTTTGGAGGACAGTTTGATCAGTTATAAGACAGTATGCGTTTTTTTTAATGCCACAGTTTAGAGTGCAAGAGTTTTTTATTTCAAAATAAAAAAAAATGGAACCCCTCACTTGTTGCGAAAATTTCTTGTTTGGTTTCCCTATTTTTCTTCCCTGTTTCTGCAAATGGGCCAAAAATTATTGGTTAAAAATATTCGATTATGATGTAGATCGGCCGAATTCTTAGATTCAACAATCCTTTTATGTGTACTGTCCAATTGGTTGATCATTGGGTCTGACTTATAGATACACAACATGTACATAATGCTGGATCAGTGACTTCGAAAATCGAACAGAACAAATATTTTACTGGCAGCGTCTCGCGAACTTCGCACAAACGAGTCGACCGTAAATGTACATTTTTGCGTATATAATGCATTACCTGTATTCTAGGCTAGAACATTTTTGCGACGTTGCAGACTTTTCAACGACACACTCCCCATATGAATGTTTGTGCTTGTTAAATTCATCCCAAACGACGACAAGGCAATGCAGAAGAATCACACAAAGACATCGAAATCTACATTCATCTTAACTATTGATTGATCTCATTTTTCTTTTACACATCGCAACCTGAGCTATACAAAAATGTTGATCATAATGTTTGCTAATCATGGGCCCCATTTGAAATTTCACAATTTTTAACACAATCTGCATCGTTTTACCCGTTCAAGTTTGATAGTAACAAGGGGGCTCTTTCGGCATGAATAGACAACACATAGTCAGTACGATGCGTGATTCGAAGTTGCTGTTTACACCGAAACCGCAAACAAAAACCTCGTTCTAAAAGTACAAGTATGCACGATGCCATTGTTTCTACCACAGAAATCACTAGTCAAAACTCCCAACCAAGATAAAATCTTACTAGTGCTCTAACGTAGTCGATAAGTGGTCAATTTTAAGCCGATTTGAGCTTAAGCAAAGTCGAGATGCTTCATTGCTAAGTGATGATAATAGAGGGACTCACTTATTTTCAACTTTTACTTACGGTGCCAGACGACGTTTATTTTATCCAAAGTAAAAACAGTCACGGTGATAGCCCACCACTCGTATAGCTGTAATCTGAAAGTCCTACCGTTGTCTGTGGTGCTGTTGTTGTGCTGTTCGGCTGTTGCTGCCAATGTGGTGCTGTCGTTGCCATCAACTATGCAGTTATCACTGCTCCTGCTGTGTTGTTGCCTTTTCCTACCATTAATTTTTGCTGCGGCTATAACGCAAACGTCGTTGTTGCAACTCTAGTTGCTACAACCCTTTTTGCTGCAGTGTCTGCTGTTGAAATAGCAGCTTCTGTTTTTGAATCTTGCCACACTCACTGCAAAAGTTCAGCGGGATTGGTCCTGTTTATATTTGTTGTTGCTTCGGGAAAAAGGGCATTTCAATGATTTTTTAGAAGATATTTTCATTCGGCGAATGAAGTAATTTTAATTTTCTAGTTTTGTGTCATTATTTTGCACGTACATTTGGACCAACATGCTCTGATACAAGCCATCCAACTACAGACACTAACCCCCCCTCCAACTTCAAGCAATGACTAACCTATGTTTTCATTTTAGAAAGGGGTACGTTTTAAGACATACGCCAATTTTGTGCCATAAATCGACACAGGTAAACTGATTGCAAGATTAATAAAACTGGACAAATGTCAGTTTGATTCAGTTCGACAAATGAAAAACGTGCATTTTGGCAAAGAACTCCAATGCACGTTGGCGGGGCAACTGGTGGTGTTAGATAGTGTACTGTGATTGAGATTTTCCGTTTAAGACTTCAATCTAATCCCAAACGTGATTTAATCATCACGAATGGGCGACACACGTCATCATATTTCTGTAACATAACAAATAACAACCATCATTACGGCGAAAGCTGGCTGATAATTTTCATAATGGATCATTTACATGCCATTTGTTTCAATTAACTGGTGAAGAAATCACTTCCACGACGTATGGTGTGTGATTCCTATAGCATGCCAGAACTATAAAATTAATCGTGACCCATGTGTCCCTACACTGCATTAGGTTGCTCTCAGCAATGTTTGCCTAACGGTCTCACGAACCTCACTTGTGAGTGTGGAGCGCATGTAGGCAACAATGCGCAGTGATTGCGCGCGCCTGAGTCAATATGATCAGCGAGTTGACAGAATGATAATTCTGAAAAGATGCAAAAGCAAATTAACTTTGTGAGAAGAGCTCTTTGATATGTAATTCCTTTACCGCTCTACGTGTTTCGAGAGGCGACGAGCCAGTTGTCTTAAACTTGGGAAAGAGTGATCCCATACTGCCCAAGTCCAAGGCAATTGACCTGACCCAGAACGTACCAGCTGACCCATGGTAAACCTTGAGCGACAAACTCAAAAGAAACCAAACCAGCCCGTATAAAGAATGGTCACTCCAATTCAACCAGGTTTAATCAAACCGACCAGGCACATCGAACAGTTGCCAAATGAAGAAACACTTTTTCAAGTTATCCACCTCAATTTTGTAGCCTCTTTCTGGATATGTAGACATCTCATTAGAACCATAACATCGCTACACCTGTACAGTCAACTCGACCGGAGATGATCTTAATGAAACGGGATGTCCTGCCCAGGGACATATGGCCCAGATAAACCAACATGCGGCAAACAGTACATTGGAGCAAAACCATCTGGGTCTACTGGACTGAAATCCCTCACCCTATCCCACTTTATTATACCCTAACACAGGTTATCCGTACTGAATATACAAATGGTGCATACGAAAGTGTCCGCCATATGACAGTGTCTGCCATCCACCAATCCACACAACCATGCCTTTGTAAAACCCATACATAGTTTCTTGAGGAAAATTAAGTGCTTTTTTCGAATACTCAAATTTCGTTTCCGGAAATAACAGATCAAAATTCTTTTTGAACGCTTCATACCTGAACTGCAAAGGTTAGTTTTTATCAGTGTTGTAGTCGAAACCACTGAAGGCCTTCAAAAGACTAAACAAGACCAGCACAAGACCAACACAAGACCTCAGGTCCGAATCAAGTCACAAGCTATTGAAATGAACCGCAACAAAAGTATTAATTACTTTGTCATTGTTCACCCTGTTACTTGTAATTGGTCTTGGGCATGGTCTTGTGTCTGGGCTTTTGATGGTCTGGACTACAACACAGTTTTTGAAATGTAAAAATCGAGGCTTGAAATTCTGCCACAAGAATTTCGTTTTGGGTCTCATCTGACCTTGTTCAATGCAGTGTTTGAAAAGCCAGACTTCAGTCTCAGTGCGTTGGATGAATGAGACATTGCTTCATATCGCGGTGTTTTGTTATAGGCCTACGTGCTCTTGATATATAGAATTAATCAATATTTTTTATGCACTCTCTTTTCCTCATTCAGTGAGCGACCATGAATGACTACGTGCAAACTGCGCCATGGGTAACAGCAAGCCCTGTCTTGGACAACTCCTCCAAGGCACTCGCCGACAACTTGACCACCGACTCCAATCCACCCTTCGGTAGCCACCCACTATGGGCAGCCATACTTATCATATTGGTAGCGGGCTGCCTGAGCATTTTCACCGTCAGTGCCAACCTCATGGTATGGATGTCTTTCTTCATGGACAAACAGCTCCAAGTCATCAACAACTACTTCTTGCTGAGCCTAGCGGTGGCTGATGTCATTATAGGAGCTCTATCGATGCCGCTGTACACACTGTACTTGCTGCAGGAAGAGTGGAGACTCGGGCCGGTCATTTGCGACATCTGGCTCTCCATCGACTACGCTGCATCCAACGCTTCTGTCATGAACCTATGCATCATATGTTTTGATAGATATTTATCCATAACCCGTCCACTGACTTACAGGGCGAACAGGACGCCGAGAAGGGTCAAGATGATGATAGCAGCTGCCTGGGTTATCTCCCTGGTGATATGGGTTCCGCTTATAGTTGGCTGGCAGTTCTTCGTTGGCAAGAGAAACATTGGCGAAGGAGTGTGTTCAATCCAATTCCTGAATGATGAAATCACTCTCAACATTATCACGATCATAATAGCGTTTTACCTGCCCGTGACACTGATGTGTGTCCTATACTATCGGATCTGGCGGGAAACCGAGAAACGGGCTAGAGAACTGGGGAATTTGCAGGCGGGCGGGAAAAACAACAGTCAGACGTCAAAACATCTGTTGTCTCCTGATGACTGTGCAGAGCATGCAGACAGGACGAGTCACCGGCGCACTGGGCTCAGAGCTCGTTTGCTGTGCTGCGCGATATCCGACATGTATGATGATGAACTGGAGGAAAGCAGCGATATAGCGTCTCCCATGCCGACGACTAACAGCCATGTCCCGTCGCCCAAACCTTTTCCCGGTCAGAACAGCGTTCACAGCAGTGCCTCTTCAAAAACTTCTCCCCGTCTCTCCCCGGTATCTAAGCCAAAACAGGATAGTCGGACGACAACACCTGAACGCACCATGCACGACTCAGATAAAAGCTTCGCTGCCTCCCTGTACACCATCCTCATTAAGCTGCCTGGAGAGAATGGGGTGAACCAGACCAAGCCAGCGGAACAGCCTAAAATCACACTCATCGAGGGGGAGCCAGGAAATGATACGTGTTCCGCCTTGTTGCAAGACCAAGATGGCAGCCATCTTGTCCCTCCGTCTAAGCAATACACGTGCGAACAACGCGATCGGGCGGGTTCCACCGCCAGCATCCATAGTCAAAAACAGAAACCCTTAACCATCAGCACCATATCCATGGTGAACAAGATGGCGGCCAGAGCCAAAACTAATGTGGTCAAACGGAAGAAATCTGCATTGATCCGCGAAAAGAAAGCTGCCAGGACTCTGTGTGCCATTCTGTCCGTCTTCATAATAACATGGACCCCTTACAGCATTTTGGTCCTAGCCACCTATGGCCAGAACCTCGACAACCAGCCGGTGTTGGTGAAAGTGTTTGACATTGCTTACTGGCTGTGCTACCTAAACAGCACCGCCAACCCTATTTGCTATGCGCTCTGCAATGCTAACTTCCGCAGGGCGTTCATACGCATCCTGCATTGCAAATGGAAAACACGGCGAGTGAACACACATAAGCCAGTCCACCATACCAACTCATCTTCTAGAAGATAAGCAAATTATATTTGGTTCGCGGATAAAAGCGATCGCTTATTCATTTGTGTGAACAAAATTGCAACCCAAACTGAGCAAATTGACAGGCACTCAGAAAGCTTTCTGTTTCAAGTTGTCAATTTCAAAGCCAAAAGTCACTTACACAGCTTGAGAAGAAGTGTTGGGCTTTCTTTTCTGTAACCATTTCGGATGTACAGATTGCTTCAAAGGTTTAACACTGAACCCTTTCAGAAAACGGGGATTTGTCTTGGGTTTTGTGCTTGGTTCTTTCATGGAGAGGCATCAAACCAAAAATTTTCACAAGAACGAATATCAATGTCCGAAGTTAGAGTGTAATGAAGATCATGAGCCCTTGGCTATTCTCTTGAGACGGAACTACACAAAAGGTTGAGACCATTTCAATATCTACGAAGAAAGAGGGCCAACAAGAATTTCCATAATGAGAAACTTTGGAGTAGCATTGAAAGGGAGAGGATTTTGTTATTGGTAAAAATGAAGGATCTTTTACGTCTCATAAACAGCGAATTTTGAGTATTAAGCACTACCAACTTTTGATTGGATACTTGTTTCGCTCAAATTGACTGGAGCAATCTGATCTGACTCCTGTTGACCTTATGTTGGGTTGCATTTTCAGCACCAAGACCTATGTAATGTGAAGTTTAGCCCGTCACACTTCAGCTTGAGCTCATCACATGACTTTCGCAAATAGATAATTTGATAACGACATTTTAAACTGTTATTTTCGTCGCAAGGTTACCGTACTCTCTAAAGCATGCTGCATTGTTATATACGAAGAGGCTCCGTCAGAATCACCAGTAAACACAGCGTACTACATAAACACGTGTATTTTTCTGTTCTTCACTTGATAGTTGGACATTTCCATCAAGGGGTGGCTTAACATGTCTCTGAATTATTTCCCCGTTTCATTGACAGATTATTTAAACCGAGGAGTACTTAAAAGGGCCCTCTTCCACGATTTTTCTGTCATGTTAACTCGTTAACTCCTTTTTATGTGCACTTGAAACAAATAACGAATATTGCCTCTTTAATGCAATCTTTTTAATTACTGTTTTTGACTTGATGTGTAATCGGGCATTCTTCTGGCCTTAAAAACTGAAAAAAAACAAAGACACTGCCGTATAGTCACAAGACTTCGCAACAGCATGCCGCACAAGAAACAGACGACTGCAGAAAAATGTTTTTTGCGGATAGAGCTGCTAAATCTTCAGTGGACAAAAAGGGACCATTTGGGGTGGGACCTTCAGTCGAAAGGGGCAACTCGGAGGGGCTGGTCACGGTGGTGCTTTTTACGTAATGTAACTTAAGATATACGTTCGTCAAAACTAGACAATAAGTGGGATTAAAATATCTCTTGGTTAATTAGATGATCCGCTCTATAAATGTTAGTGACACTGCTCATGTTTTCACAGTGTTGTTATGCCTTCGTTGAGTTCCCTCTTGTGAAAAAATTATCAACACCATGGAATGCTCAATTATTGTTAAACAAGCATGGTTTAATTAGATAAAAGCACTTTGTCAAAATCGAGATAACTGTTGCTGCCTATCTCGTTGGGTTTCTTTTAGTCGTTTCCGTTTGGGAATGTTCCCTATATTAAATGACTATATCCTATTTTAATTTATTATTTTTAAATTATTATTTACGCAGACACTGTACAGGATTCTCAGATTGTACAAATTCATGTATAGGCTAGGTAAGTCATGTTAACGAATGCCGATTAAAAGATCATCATTGAAAACATAAAAATGGTTAATGTCATCCTCGGAACATAGTAGATATCCCGGCGGCTTCTTATGTCTATCATTTCTATATAAGATACTGTTGTGATATTGCTGTTGGGCCATGACTGTTTCCTTGGAGACACCTCTTTCCTAGCGACGCCACTGCGCTGTCGATTTAGCTACGTGCCTGTAGCTACGTCGTTTTATTTCCCTCAGCACAAATTATTGTGACCGAAGCTTAATTAAGACAAACCTTTGCTACATACACACTTCATCAGTGTGACAGTTTTATGTATTTTCTTTTATGGGGGGCGCTTGGAGTCTAGCAAGAATATCTGCTCGTGTCCTTAGCTAGCAGAATAGCATGAACTGCATCAACATATACGTGTGATTAATTTACTTTGCAATTAAGAGTGGCATAACGACAGTCGTTTATGAAAGCAGATTTACAAATATTGGTCTTAATGTTGGACGTTTCCAGCGACTCACATCCTGCTCGTAGGCCTACACATAACAACCACAATGGCAAGGTTTTTTTCTATCCCGGTGACGTCATGAAAAGCAAATTACCAAGTTACCATTGGCGCCTTGTGCGGGCAGCGATGTCTACTAAGGATTAAAGGAGGACAATGTAATGCTGTTTTCTGCATAAACTATACAAAAGTTGCAGCGAAAATTTCACCGTCTTTGGTATCTGTATAGCCACATAGTAGGAAACAACAGAGCTTAATTTGGCACTGTCGGTTGTTTTCGGCACAATTCCTGGTTTGGCAAAGTGGTTTTATTTCAATAGTGTAAAATGAATACTTAGGGCTCTCCTTTGGAAGTGACACCTTGACAGGTTTATCAAGGCATTCTCGTGGGCACAGCCACACCATCGACCATTAGCGGGCTAGCTTAATGGAAGAATATTACGCGGGAGCAACATCCCCCTGCGTGAGCCCTGTGATACCGTTATGCCGTGCCCAAGTATGGATCCAGGACCATTTTGGGGGAGGGGGTATAATTGTTCGGGGGAGGGGCAAAAATAAAATGTTTATGAAACCTAAGGTAGCCATTTATGACCTTTTTGTGGGCTTTTTTTACACGCTTTTGAAAGGAAGGAAGATGAAACAGACAAAGAAATCATCTTTCACCATTCCGTTTTACGGAGTCATTGCCCCCGTTGGTCCCTCCTTGGAATCCACCCTCACAGACCGTCCCCCATCCCACTCCAGCTTAGAAAATCAAACAAAACTAAGGCTTTTGCAAATATGGAGAAATCTTGATATTTAGCTGAGAGTGACCAAAGATACCGACTTCCTCAGGAGGACCCCACAAGCCCCATTGCAAATGGGATCCTGATTAAATCCTCCACATAGGTAACGCCATGATGTAACCAGTTTGGACGAGATATCCTCGGTAGTTTCACGAATATGGCGTGAACATTTAATCCCGGAATGGAGATATCTTCATTCCTAATATAGATATTTCTATTGCGCAATAGAGATATCTCGATTAAGTTAACGCTTCCGAGGTCAGCGGGTCGCCCTCGACGTTTTGTGTTTAAAAATCTATTATCTTGAGGGGTTTTGAATCCGTGTCTCAGTACTTGTACTCCCGTGGTTATGAAACTTTACACAACCCTCTGGCTCAGTGAAACTTTATACGTGACGTTACAATGACGTTTTCCGTTGACCCAGTGTGCGGGGCGGGAAATATAATAGAAATATCTCAATTAAAACAAGACGTACAATAGAGATATCTCTCTATTAGAAATAAAGATATCTGTACACGCGGATTAAATGTTAACTTTGCACGCCGTAGACGAAACCCCCAGTGTTCACAAGCCCCGGACAGTTCATCTTTTTGCAATAAGATTTTTTTGTGGAATGTCAGCATCATTGTGAGACGTTGTCATAGCAACTTCTGAACACTAGCCGCGAGTCTGCTCGCGCCAGGGAGCAATAATTGTCTGAACGTGTAGAGGAAATTTCATTGTTAAAAATAATGTCATGGTGCTTTGAAATATCTCCTCTTCGCTCGACACGTGTACAAGGCCTGCAAAGGTGTGGCTGCATTCGCGACAGGTTGGTAGGTTGGAAGACTGGAAATGGGGCAATATATGACCAATCCTTTGTGCGTCTGAAGTCTTGTGAGGATAATTCATTTGGGAAAGTAGTACAGGGGTACATTAAGCGATCCGCCAACTTCCAGTAGCCTTCAAAGTTCATGCCAAATTCAGTAGCACTTTATATTGCTTCCATTCGTTGGAAAAGATTTCGTTGGTAGGATTTATATGCAATGGACCCATCTGTTTTTTCAATATGTAAGGAGTGATCGTTGTTGGGCGCTGGCGGGGCTGGGGATAATTTTGATAGTATAACATTCCTACCTCGCTTTGTATGAGTGACGCAGAGCTTCCAAGGAATTCATGACTTGGCATCAGTAAGGCGGATTTGGTTCATCTTTGCCCAGGGAATTGTGATGCCGGTGTAAGACCTTGATTTGGATTACCCATTCGATGTGGGAAAGAAAGGACATTCAGCGATCTGGGCAATGCAGTTTTACCGAGGACACTCCAAGCGCCACTTGAAGCGAAAGCAAATGGGTTTATTGGACAACGTCATCGATATGAGAAAAACCATGCATAGAACACGGGCAGGTCGTATGCAGCTAGTTTATAGGTCACTAGGTTTGCGTAAGAAAAAGAGAGAAATGAGTATTGCTGTACTCAGAAGACCGGATAGTTACGTACACACTCTGTCGTTAGTGTCAGTGTCATCACTGTCCTCGTACCTTGTCGTTACAGTAAGACAAATGGGATAAAGTTACATACGGGTACATAATAAAAACACCAAAAAATGCCAGACATTCAATGAACATTTCATGAAAATCACTAAGATTCAGTAATGAAGAAGATTTTGGAAAATCTCTTTTTCAGTTACATGTAGTAAAAAAAAAATCGTGTCCTTAAAAATGATAGTGTCTCCTAAGAATGAGTTTCTATAAAACGCTTACTTCCAGAACCATGCCTAGGAGCTATTTTGTTTTCAATCTTAAAATTATCTAAGGTACTTCCAATGAGGTTTCCACAGATAACTCACGAAGTAATGCATGTCGCTTACAAACTACATATATACGCAAAGAAGTATCTTTCTATTATCATTTGTCTTCGCTATTTCCAATCTTTAAAATGTCTTGCGTTAGATATCTTCCAGGAGCATTACAGGGATTACTGGCTTTTTTTCCGGGGCAACGCGTCATCATATCAGACATAAAACCTGCTTTACTTCCAAAAGCTCCATGCTCACCGCCGTGATGGCTCTGGGGTCCGCCATCTCTGACGCAAGACGCTTCTTGCGTCACAGAAGCATTTATATAACGTAGTACAAGGACGCAAAAAGACACCCTTATAAAAAAACTGAAACAAAAGCCTCAAGAGAGCAACAGTATAGTATGTAGATAGCAATGTGGCATTGTAAGATTATGTGCTTGTTGGACACAGAAAGACGCAAGAGGCAGTAAGATAAATCCATGCGTTATATGAACTTATATACATGTATATAATTGCCCTCTGTAATGGTACCCATTCAAACACAGAAAATTAGACACTTCTCCCCTGGACAGTCTGCTGACTTTTCAAAGCGCTTCCTAACAGTAACAGCTAGGCACAGATAGGTCAGAATCATGTGTACAAAGGGCATCTGCCAGACTAACCTGTGTTCTTATCAAAACACGTGTGTCTATCATTTTCAAACGGCGAGATAAAAGCTGTCGTTATGAAGCACGTTGCCAGGTAATTACCTTGAGACTTGTAACCACTGTTGTACGTTCAAGCCATAGCAATTAAACAAGGCTTCGCAGCCCAAGAAATGACCTGAAACTCAGAGGAACGATGGAAATACGTTGTTATTCCTTTACTTGAAGACCAGGTCCATGCTCGATCCCGGTGTTCTTTCTCACGTCATTTGCGTTTTGTGACAAGCACCGTAATTTACATTAGTATTTGCTGAAATCCTTGACATTTAAAGTGGGAAAAATCGTGCGCCTTCGCAGATTCTTTTTCAGACAAAGTTTGTTTTTGCGTTAGCCTTTCTAATCTTATACCTTTTGTACGCCTTCAAAAATATTGGCGATCACCCATAACCTGAAGTTGTTCATTTCTGAACTATTTACCTTCTGCTTCCAAGTTGTTTTGTATTCTTACAGTCGAACATCTGTTCCTTTTCAACTTTACAGCGTTTGTTATGTTATCTGTTAAGCTTGAGAAGCATTTTGTGTCTCTTTTCTCTATTGCCTTGTCGGACAGGAAACAATGGTCCCTAACCCCACCCACACCCCTTCAAGAAGGAGGGGCATTTTTTGTGTGGTGAAAGACAAGTGGGGGAGACTATGACTCCTTCAAGAAATGTTAAAATCTCCCCCCCCACACACACACACACATACACACATGTTTCCTTACACACCCATACTTGTGGAGTATTTCCTTTGTTCTCGTGTACAAAACTCCCACACAACACGCCAAAAGTTTGAAATCACTCCAATTTAATCCAAATTCGCTTTCCTGGGTTGAAATTTCGACTGTAGGCCTATGTCCCTTATATTAAACGCTTCAATTTGCGACGGATTTTTACCCATCAAAAATTTCCCCTTTTTGAGTTATTTCCAAATATCAGTTTGGTGAAATTCTTGTGGGGTACCAATTTTGGTACCTCACAAGGTAAAAACTGGCCTTGTGGGGTACTTCCCATTGTTCCGGTACCCCACAAGGCCCCATGTATAAGCGCACACACACATAAACACACACACACACACATACCTGTTTTACATACAAAGTGTGGACTTTCCTGTGTTTTCCTGTGGTTAAGGAAATTTGAGGAAAATTTATTATTTATTTATTTATTCATTCATTCATTTATTCTGGCAAAAAGACAATTTATGATGACTGTCACAATACAAAAACACAAAAATACAAAGAATAGTAAAAGACAGAAACCAAGGATAGCCCAAGAAACCTGTAATCTCCAACCAGGATAACTCCCTCGAGCTGGATTTTTGTTGATGATTTCCCGGAC